TTTATTGCCAAATAATATTTCAGTGTATGGATATGCTACATTTTGTTTATTCATCTATCAGTTGATAGACATTTGGTTTATTTCTACTTTATGAATATTGCTGCTGTGTTAAATAATGCTGTTATGAACATTTGTGTACAAGTTTTTGTGTGAACTTATGTTTTCAGTTCTCTTGGAGATATACCTAGAAGTGGAATTACTTAAGTCATCTTGTAGCTCTATATTTAACCTTTTTAGGAGCTGCCACACTGTTTTCTTTCTTTCTTTTTTTTTTTTTTTTTGAATTGGAGTCCCACTCTGTCTCCCAGACTGGAGTGCAGTGGCCGCTCCCGGCCACCGCAGCCTCGACCTGCTGGGCTCCGGCGATCCTTCTGCCTCAGCCTTCCGAGTTTTTGATTTTTTGATTTATTGTAGAGATGAGGTCTTGCTCCCCAGGCGGGCCTCGAACCCTCGGGCTCAGGCAATCCACTCACCTCAGCCTCCCAAAGGCACGGGATTACAGGCTGAGCCACTGAGCCCGGCTTGCCACGCTGTTTTCTAAAGCAGTTGTACTGTTTCATATTTGTACCAACAGTATATCGAGGTTGCAGTTTTTCCATATGCATGGCGACACTTGCTATTAGCTTTTTTATTATAGCCATCCCAGTGGAATTGAAGTGGTATCTCATTTTGGTTTTGATTTGAATTCCTCTGGTGACTAATGATGCTGAGTATCTTTTCTTGTGCTTCCCAGTGGAATTGAAGTGGTATCTCATTTTGGTTTTGATTTGAATTTCCCTGGTGACTAATGATGCTGAGTATCTTTTCTTGTGCTTATTGGCCTTTCATATATCTGCTTTGGAGAAACAATTTGATTTTTTCCCATTTTTAATTGTTTGTCTTTTTATTATTGGAGTTGGACTTTATTTATACTACCTAAAGTCCCTTATCAGATACATGATTTTCAATTATTTTCTCCCATTCTGGACTTGTCTTTTCACTTCCTTGATTGCCCTTTAGAGCAGGAGTCCCCAACCTTTTTGGCATCAGGGACCAGTTTCATGGAAGACATGTTTTCCATGAACTTGTGAGTGGAATAGTTTTACGATGATTCAAATGCATGACATTTATTGTGTGCTTTATTTCTATTATTATTACATTGTATAGAATTGTATATATAATGCATATAATTATACATATAATGAAATAATTATACAACTCACCATAATGCAGAATCAGTGGGAACACTGAACTTGTTTTCTAGCAATTAGATAGTCTCAACTGCGGGTGTTGGGAGACAGTGCTAACATCACTGCCTCAGTTCCACCTCAGACCATCAGGCATTAGATTCTCATAAGGAAAGGTATACAACCTAGATCCCACACATGCACAGTTCACAATAGGGTTCATGCTCCTATAAGAATCTAATGCTGCCACTGATCTGACAGGAGGCAGAGCTCAAGTAATAATGCGAGCTATGGGCAGCAGTTAGTTATAAATCCAGATGAAGCTTTGCTCACTTGCCTTCTGTTCACCTCCTGCTGTGCAGCCTTGTTCCTAACAGGCCATGGGCCAGTACTGATTTGTGACCTAGGATTTGGGGACCCCTGCTTTACAGCATAAAAGTTTATAGTTTTGATGATGTTTACTTCATCTATTTTTTCTGTTTTTCTTTTGTGGTTTGTGCCTTCAGTGTCATGCCTAAGAAACCATTACGTAAACCAATGTTTTCTTCTAAGAGTTTTTATAATTTTAGCTCTTACATTTATATTTTGGATCCATTTTGAGTGAATTATTATATATGCTGTGAAGTATTGGTCCAGCTTCATTCTTTGGCATGTAGCTATCCATTTATCCCAGTGCCATTTGTTGAAAGACAATTTTTCCTCCATTGAATTGTTTTGGCACTCTTGTTGAATCTCAGTTGACTGAAAACATAGGGATTTATTTCCAGACCCTCAATTCTATCCCACTGATCTATTTGTCCTTATGCCAGTACCATACTATCTTGATTACTATATGAGGTAAAGTTCCTTTATTCCTAGTTAGTTAGGTATTTTTATGATTTAAACAAAGGTGCTGTATTTTTTCAAATACTTTTCCTATGTTGATTGAAATGTTCATGTGGTTTTTATCCTTTATTCTATTAAATATAGTATATTACATTCATTGAATTTTATATGCTGACTGAACGAACCTTGTATTTGCATCATACATCCCACATGGTCATGGTTATGTTGCTGGATTAGGTTTTAAATTGTTTTGTTGAATACTTTTGTATCTGGAGTATGGGATATTTCTCTATAGTTTATTTTATTGTGATGACTTCATCTGGTTTTGGTATTAGGTAAATAATAGCCTTACAGAAAGAGTTGGAAAGTATTCCTTCCTTTTCATTTTTTGGAAGTGTCTTTGAAGGATTGGCGTTAATTCTTTAAACACTGGTAAAATTTCCCTTAAATTAAGCCATCTGGTTCTGGACTTTGTAGAAAGTTTTACAAAATCAATCCTCTACTTTTTATAAGTCTATTCAGATGTTCTATTTCATATTGAAACTCCTTTCTAAGAGTTTGTCTATTTCATCTTGGTTATCTAGTTTCTTATACAGTTGTTCATGGTATGTTCCCTTATAATTTTTTTTCCTTCTGAAGGTCAGTTATAGCCTGCTTTCGCATTCCTGATATTAATGACTTGAGTCTTCTTTTGTTTTCTAATTGGTCAATATAGCTAAAATCTTGTCAATTTTGTTATCTTTTTTAAGAGCCAACTTTTGGTTTCATTGATTTTCTCTATTATTCTATTCTCTATTTCATTTTCACTCTGATCTTTGTGTTTCCTGCTTTCTGCTTGCTTCTTGCCTAGTTTGCTCTTCTTTTTCTAGTGTCTCAAGGTAGATTGTTAGGTTATTTATTTGATATCATTTTTTTTATATTGGAATTTACAGCTATATATTTTCTTCTACTCCAGACTTTTCATTAGATCTTTTTAAATAATCTGTATATCTTTATTGACATTCTCTATTTGATGAGACATTCTTCTTATACTTTCCTTTAATTCTTTAGACATGGTTTTTTTTTTAAGTTTGTTGAATATATTTTAAATAGCTAATTTAAAGTCTTTGTCTAGTAAGTCCAATGTCTGGGATTCTTTAGGGACAGTTTCTACTGATTGCTTTTTTTCTGTGTATGGACCATACTTTCTAGTTTTATTACATGTGTCACTTTTTTTGTTGTTGAAAATACAATGTGCCAACTTGGAAATCAGATTATTTTCCCCAGTTCAGGATTGGTTGTTTCAGCTATTTGTCATTGTTATTATTTGTTTAGTGACTTTTCTGAACTCTGTAAAGTTTGTATTCTTGTCGTGTGTGCCACTGCAGTCTCTGCTTGGTTAACTTAGTGATTAGCTAATGAATGCACAGAGATTTCCTTAAATGCCTAAAACAAATAAGTCTCTTGATGTTTGCCAAAGACTGGAACATGCCTTCAACACTTAGTCATGTGGTTGCCAGCTTTACCTTAGCCTCACTTCCTGCTTGCACAGAGCCTAAAGGCCAGCCAAATGTGAGAGGTTAGGTCCTTTTCAGGTCTTTTCTGAGCATATGCACAGTCCCAGACATGTGCACAGCTCTATGCATGCACATGACCTTCTAGATTCCTAGGAATGCATTAGAGCTCTTATGGACATTTCACTTCCCAGTTTTCTCTATTAGACTTTTGGTTAGCCTATTGTTTGTCCCCAACTGTTAACCATCATTTCAGAAAGCAACAAAGTTAAATAATTGCCTCTAATTGTTTTTGATGAATTCTTCTGGGGGAAAGACTGAGTTCTAGTCAGGAAAAATGGGCATTTTTGAAAGTGAGAGATTTTAGAGAACCACTAAACAGGTCAAATAATTATAGTTCTCAGGGTATGAGGCTTGGAAGACTTTCCAACCCTTTTCTGCCCTTTTCAGAGGCTGCCCTGATGCTTCTTTTCATCATGATTGTGAACTGTCAGTTTTCATAGCTATGGTAGAGCTAGAGGGGAGGGGATGGGAATAGGGCAAATTATAACACCTCATAGCTTGCTGTTTTTATCAGAATTCATTTGACTTTCTTGAATAAATGTTCTCTGAATTGCTGCAAGCTTTTGTTTGAATTCCAGATTACTGGAAAAAATGGCTCTTATAATATTTTGCCAGTTTTCTCACTGCTTTTATGGAGAGAATTTTCAGAGGTCCTTACCCCACACCACTTTCATTGATGTTCCTTCAGCAGTTATTCTTGAATAAATTCTTCTTAATTTGTTGTATGCCCTTTGGTCAATTTCCAGAGTATTTCAATGGTTATTTTCTTTTCTTTATTGTTATTATTATTTTTTAAAATAAGTAGAGATGAGGACTTCCTATGTTGCCCAGGCTGGTCTTGAACTCCTGGCCTCAAGTGATCCTCCTGCCTCGGCTTCCCAAAGTGCTGGAATTACAGGCATTAGCTACCGCACCTGGCCTCAGTGGTTGTTTTTTATGCTTTTGTCAGTCTTATCATTGCTTTTTGAGGAAAGAATTTGCCGAGCTCCTCGCATAGTCATTCCAGAAGTTCTGCCTGTCCATTTTAGAATTTAACACCCAACTAAACTATAACCCCACTAAGGATATAGGGAAAAATACATAAGGAGTTGGGACACTTTTGACATCCATTAACCTTTTGTAAAAGACTATACTTCAGTTGAATAAAAAAATATATAGCGGGAAGTAAGGCATTAGATACAAGAAACAATGATAGATGTCAGATCCTCTACACCTAAGTAGTAGTGACAGGAAGAGGGAGACTTTTAATGACATCTTTTTCTATCTAATCTGTTGCAACTGGGACCATGTCTTGGCTCAATGTGGTATAAAAATGGTATTCTAATGATCATGTCTAAAGCATACTAATAGTGGAGATAAGATCTTGTGTGGCAATCCTGTGTTATAAGTATCCTTTTAGTTAAAAGTACTAACTCATGTTATTTCTGAATAACAAAGGCTTTGTCTTTAACAGGTGAGAGGAATGACATGTGCCTCCTGTGTACATAAAATAGAGTCTACTCTCACAAAGCACAAAGGGATCTTCTACTGCTCTGTGGCCCTGGCAACCAACAAAGCACATATTAAATATGATCCAGAAATTATTGGTCCTAGAGATATTATCCATACAATTGAAGTAAGTGCCAAGAATTTGCATTTATGTGTTCTAACCTATTCAATCAGCACTCCCTTTAGCCACTTCTGGTTTGCATCATATGGAGACAATGAAAAAAATCTGATCCCCTTTGAATACTTTAGATAGGATCTGTCTCAAATTTAATGTAAATGTGTCTGCCTTTTATTCTTGTAAGGATAAGTTAGCAAAGTGTACATTTCCACTACTCAGGAGCAGACTTGTTAGAACCAAAAATTACTTAAAATATTCAGAAAATAAAATAAAATTTGTTATGGATAAGATTCATGTTAAGCACTAAGAAAGCGAAGCATCCTTCTAGATGCCTTTTTGTTTGTTGGATCAAAGCAAAAGCCCTGTTTTTAAGTTAAAGTAAAACATTTAAAAGACCAAACCCTCTATTTGTGACAGATTCTTCCTGTGTTCTTCAATAAATCTTAAGTGGTAACACATGTGAATATGCTTTAAAATTTTCAGGGTGCTATGCAATTTGTATTCTAATAATCTAAAGCATATTAATAGTTCAATTAAGATTCTATTTGTGTAGATGAAAATACCACTGACATTTTTGTGAAACTAGCTTGTTGAATACCTACAATGTGCTAGTTATTGAGATTGCAAAACTTCAACTCTTTTTTTTTTGAGTTGGAGTCTCACTCTGTCACCCAGACTGGAGTGCAGTGGCACGCTTCCGGCCACCGCAGCCTCGACCTGCTGGGCTCCAGCAATCCTTCAGCCTCAGCCTTCCAGGCGCGCTAGAACTACAGGTGCGCACTATCACGCCCAGCTAATTTTTTGATTTATTGTAGAGATGAGGTCTCGCCAAGATGCCCAGGTGGGTCTCGAACCCACAGGCTCAGGTGATCCACTCACCTCAGCCTCCCAAAATGCGGGATTACAGGCTGAGCCACCGAGCCCGGCAAAACTTCAACTCTTAATTCCCAAGGCATATTGTCATTTTCATTTTGGCAATGAGGAAACTTAGGTTAAAAGAAGTTAAGTTACTTGTCCAAAGTCACATAGCTAGTACCATCATAACTGGTGTTTGAACCTAATCACTCTGACTCCAAAGCTCATGCTTGCTCTTTTCATTGTGCTACACTGCCAACAAATATAAGATGGTAACGTCTTCCCTAGCAGTTGAAAATATAATGTATGCTACTATCTGTAGTCAGATGAGTATTACTTAGGTTTAGTTTCCTTTTTATATTTTGTTTTACTGGGGAAAATGATTTTTTTCATGTTCTTTTCCCGATTGAACAAAATTTAAGACTGCAAATGCAAGGCCTTGAAGAATATATTTTATTATGGTGCTAACTTTTGTGACCTATTAATGAGAACCTCCACTGAGGACAGTTGTACTTGAGTTAAACTGTTAGTTTGAGAACAATAGGATAGATGTTAATTAGAATTAAGGAAGTATTCATTTCTTTGATGGAGATTAAAAATGAAGGTAGGCTGGGCATGGTGGCTCATGCCTATAATCCCAGCACTTTGAGAGGCCAAGGTGAGAGGATTGCCTGGGTCCACGGGATGGAGACCAGCCTGGGAAACTTGGCAAGACCTCATCTCTACAATAAATAAAAAAAATTAACTGGGTGTGGTGGCGCACGCCTGTAGTTCCAGCTACTTGGAAGGCTAAGGCAGAAGGATCGCCTGAGCCCAGCAGGTCGAGGCTGCAGTGGCTGTGAGCATGCCATTGCCCTCCAGCCTGGGTGACAGAGTGAGACTCCAACTCAAAAAATAAATAAATAAACAAAGGTAATCAAGAACAGGAAGCATGTCATCTTTGTAGTCCCCAGAATAACTTACACTTAGTAATTTAACTGAATTGTTCTCAATGACAATACCATGGTCTACAATTTCTCTATACAATATTTATCCATTCAGTGAAATAATTTTTTTCTCATGAATTTCCTTAGAGCTTAGGTTTTGAAGCTTCTTTGGTCAAGAAGGATCGGTCAGCAAGTCACCTAGACCATAAACGAGAAATAAGACAGTAAGTACTTTTGGAGTATCAGTAAGAAACAGATTTTGACTACTCATTATAAATTTAACATCCTTTTGGCATGTCATTTTTTACAATGTCATCCTTACACGAGGTGGAGTGTTCACAAGTTATATTTCTCTAAAGTACGTAGACTCTTTAGCCATTAGCTACTTTTGAGCATGATTTTTCTTATTTTTCTGTATAAGATGGAGACGGTCCTTTCTTGTGAGCCTATTTTTCTGTATTCCTGTAATGGGGCTGATGATATATATGATGGTTATGGACCACCACCTTGCAACTCTTCACCATAATCAGAACATGAGTAAAGAAGAAATTATCAACATTCATTCTTCCATGTTCCTGGAACGCCAGATCCTGCCAGGATTGTCCATTATGAATTTGCTGTCCTTTTTATTGTGTGTACCTGTACAGGCAAGTAACATGTTAGCAAGTAAATTTGTTGATAATACCACAGTGTGGTATGCAAGGTTATTTTCAGTTGTAAAACAGATATTAGCCAGAGGTCTGATCATTTTATGCTATATGCTTTACTGAAATAATCTTAAACTGAGTAAAGTAGATAATAGATTCCATGTAAACTCTAAGAATATTGCTTAATGACAAAACAGAGAACAAGAGTTCAATTTTTTTATTTGGCATTTATATATACTGCTATATATACCTTTATTTTCTCTTTTTACTTTTTAGAGACAGGATATTACTCTTTCACCCAAACTGGAATGCAGTGGTATGATAATAGCTCACTGCAGCCTTGAACTCCTGGGCTCTAGCAGTACTTCCAACTCGGCCTCCCAAGTGGCTGGGAATAAAGGCACCATGCCTGGCTAGTTAAAAAAATTTTAGAAACAGGGTCTCACTGTGTTGCCCAGTCTGGTCTCAAACTCTTGGCTTCAATCAGTCCTCTTGCCTCAGCCTCCCAAGTAGCTGAGACTACAGGTGCAAGCCACCATGCTAGGCTGTAACTTTATATCTGTTATTTCTCCCTGACATTTTATCTGCTACTGCATATGACTTTATATTTGTTATTTCTCCCTGGTACTTCAGTGCATTACTTTCTGTATGTTTTCAACTATTTTTTTTAGATAAACTTTTACTGTGGAATGGAAATCTGATCCTTATAAAAGACAGTAGTTACTTTTAAAACATCTTACTTTGTTTCTCTGTAGTAATGAAATAATTTTTTCAGTTATGGTTACCAGCAAAAACAGCCAACGGATTTGATAGCTTGTGATATACCACTTAGATTGAGTTTTGGAAAGGGGAGCCGAGGTTTATATTTAAAATCCTTGAAAAAAATAGTAATTATTTTCCTAGTTCTTGTTATTGTTAGCCTCAAAAAGAAAAATCCAAGAACCCTCTGACTGTCTTTATACTATGGAATATTCATTGGCTCATAAAGGATAGAGCATCCAAGGGCTTGCACATCTGTACAAACATTATTGTTTCAGCTTAAAATTGCCCCTTAATTTTTATGGATTAGGTAAAAGCCAAAGGAGTTGAAGTTTGATACTTTAAGTTATTGAAATACATATGTGAATTTCAGCATTTTAAAAAATTCAATGATTATCATTTCTATATTGCAGTTTTTTGGAGGCTGGTACTTCTACATTCAGGCTTACAAATCACTAAAGCATAAGACGGCAAATATGGACGTTCTGATTGTGCTGGCAACCACCATTGCATTTGTCTACTCTTTGGTTATTCTTCTGGTCGCAGTGTATGAGAGAGCCAAAATGAATCCTATTACTTTCTTTGACACACCTCCTATGCTATTTGTATTTATTGCACTAGGCCGATGGCTGGAACATATAGCAAAGGTAAAGTAAGAAAAGGTGACATTTGTTAAAATGTTGGGTGAATAAATGACCATAAACTGTTTGACCAATTATTAGAAATATATGTTGATTTATGTAGTTAACCATTCACTGAAAGTGTTTTTGTTTTGGCAGTATTTTAAGTTAAATATTCATTTAGAAGATTTACCACATTTATAGAATTAATGCTATAGATAGTACAGTATATCTATGTTTATTTTGAGAGAGAAACATTTGAGAAATATTTATTTATTTATGTCACATTATTAATTTAAAAATTGATGTGCCCACATGGTTTAAAAAAATGGTGAGCCGGGCTCGGTGGCTCAGCCTGTAATCCTGCGCCTTTGGGAGGCTGAGGTGAGTGGATTGCCTGAGCCTGCGGGTTCAAGACCCGCCTGGGCAGCGAGACCTCATCTCTACAATAAATAAAAAAAATCAGCCGGGCATGGTAGCGCATGCCTGTAATTCCGGCTACTTGGAAGGCTGAGGCGGAAGGATCGCCAGAGCCCAGCAGGTCGAGGCTGCGGTGACTGGGAGCGGCCACTGCACTCCAGTCTGGGTAACAGAGTGAGACTCCAACTAAAAAAAGAAAAAAAAATGGTGGAAAAATTCATCCAAAGTCCTGTGCTATAATGTAAATCACTTTCTAATCTTCGTCCATATACCTTTAGATTGAACAGAGTTGCAAATGTAATATACATACTACTTTGTACCCTTAACACTATAAACTTTTTCACCATTTTTGCAGTCCAGATAATTATTTGATATTTGTAAATAATAATAGTCTATCAAGTCAATGTGCTCAAATTTACTAAACCATTTTGGTTTTTTCTCAATTAGATTGTTTCTGGTTTTTTAAATTTTATTTTAGAGAATCCTGCATTGAACATATTCATGTCTAATAGTTGGTCATTTCCACTGAACTAGTATCTTAGTATATATTACAAAGGATATGATTACTGACTAAAAGGCCTAAATCTAGCTGGGCTCAGTGGCTCAGCCTGTAATCCCGCGCCTTTGGGAGGCTGAGGTGAGTGGATTGCCTGAGCCCGCGGGTTCGAGACCCGCCTGGGCAGCAAGACCTCATCTCTACAATAAATCAAAAAATCAGCTGGGTGTGGTAGCGCATGCCTGTAATTCCGGCTACTTGGAAGGCTGAGGTGGAAGGATCGCCGGAGCCCAGCAGGAAGGCTGCGGTGGCCGGGAGCGGCCACTGCATTCCAGTCTGGGTGACAGAGTGAGACTCCAACTCAAAAAAAAAAAGGCCTAAATATTTCTATGGCTGATGCTATAAGTTATTAACAATTTTTGCCAGCAAAGGGTATGTCAATGAAGTAGTTTTACTGCAACTGCATCTGCATCACATCTCATCTAAATTCTTCCTAAGTTAATAGATATTTAAATGTCATTGCAGGGTTGCTTTAGTTTTCATTTCCATTAATGTCATGGATAAACATTTTTACATGCATTGGGCATTTATATTTCCTCTTGCATGATATGCCTGTTCAATTATACTTAATACTTTTTAGTATTTTTTTCCCTTCTTTTAAAGATGTGGGGTACAATTCAGGGTTAGGTATACAAATGTTCATTTTGCAGGTACCCTTGTTGATGAGGTGTGCCTCTCCCTCCCCTGGCAATTTTCCTCAATTGCCAATCAGTCCCGCCACCCCCGCCCCCACCGGCAGTTTCCCACTACTGCCAATCCCTTTCTTATAGTATTATGATAATTGTTCAAGGTCTGCTTATGAGTGAGAACATATCTGTTCTTTGTTTCTGTGATAGATCACTGAGTATGATAGACTCTAAACCCATCCAAGTTGCTGGGAAGTCCATATGTTTGTTCTTTTTATGGCTGCATAATATTCCAGTGTGTATGTGTACCACATTTTTTTTATCAGGTCCCACTTCAATGGGCAGCATGGTTGGTTCCATGTTTTTGCTATTATGAATAGAGCTGCAACAAACATGCATGTGCAGGTATCTTTTTGGTAGAATGACTTTAGTTCCTCTGGTTATATTCCCAATGGAGGGATTGGAAGGTCAATTTCTAGTTCTTTCAGAAATCAGCACACTGTCTTCCAAAAAAGGTTGCACTAGTTTGCATTCCCACCAGCAGTATAGAAGCGTTCCTTTTTCTCTGCATCCTCACCAGCATCTGTTGTTGGTTTTTATTAGTGATGGCCATTCTTACTGGGGTTTGATGTTATCTCAGTGTGGTTTTGATTTGCATTTCTCTGATGATGAGTGAGGCTGAGCACTTTTTCATGTGTCTGATGGCTGCCCTTATATCTTCTTTTGAGAAGTGTCTGTTCATGTCTTTTGCCCACTTTTTGGGGCTGTTTGGTTTTTTCCTTCCAGCACGTTTGAGTTCCTTGTAGATCTCAGATGTTAGGCGATTGTCAGATATACAGCTGGCAAATATGTTTTCCCATTCCATGGGCTGTCTCCCAGTCTCTTGATGGTTTCTTTTGATGGTCTTCTTACAGAAGTTTGTCAGTTTGATGAGTTCTCACTTGTCTATCTTATCTCTTGTGGTATGGGCACTTGGGGTTTTGTTCAGGAATTGGTTGCCAGGTCCAGTTTCCATAAGGGTGTCTCCTGCATTGTCTAAAATTCTCATAGTTTGAGGTTTTATGTTTTAGGTCTTTGATCCATTTAGAGTTCATTTTTGTGGATGGTGATAGGTAGGGGTCCTGTTTCAATCTTCTGCATGTGTTCAGCCCATTTTCCCAGCACCATTTACTGAACAGGTTCTCCTCTCCCCAGTAGTTGTTGTTGGAGGCTTTGTCAAAGGTGAATTAGTTGAGAAATTGGGGCTTTGCTTCCGGAATCACTGTGTTGTTCCATTGGTCTGTATGCCTGTTCTTGTACCAATACTAGGCTGTTTTGATTACTGTAGCCTTGTAGTAAAGTTTGAAGTCTGGAAGTGTGATACCTCTTGTTTTGTTTCTTTTGCTAAGGATTGTTTTGGCTATTCGTGGTTGTATATGTTTCCATATGAATTTCTGTATTGTCATTTCCAGGTCTGAGAAGAATGATGTTGGTAATTTAATGGGTATTGTGTTGAATCTGTAGATTGCTTTTGGTAGGATGGATATCTTAACAATATTGATTCTTCCGGTCCATAAGCACGGAATATTTTTCCATTTATTTGTGTCTTCTTGGATTTCTCTGAGCAGTGTTTTATAGTTCTCACTGTAAAGGTCTTTCACTTCTCCTCTGGTTAGGAAGATGCCGAAGTATTTCATTTTTTGTGTGGCTATTTTGAATGGCATTGTGCATTTTATTTGGTTCTCTGTCTGCTTGTTGTAGGTGCATAAGAATGCATCTGTCTTTTGCACATTTATTTTGTACCCTGAGACTTTGCCAAAGTCCTTTATCAGTGCAAGCAGGTTTTTGACAAGTTCTCTTGGATTTTCAAGGTATAGGATTATATCATCAGCAAAGAGGGATAATTTGACTTCCTCTTTTCCTATTTGGATACCCCTGATTTCCTTCTCTTGTTTAATTGCTCTAGCTAAGACTTTCTCTTTTTTTTTTTTTTTTTTTTTTTTGAGTCAGAGTCTTACTCTATCCTCCAGGCTGGAGTGCAGTGGCAAACTCACAGCCACCCCATCGTCGACCTGCTGGGCTCCGGTGATCCTTCCACCTCAGCCTTTCAAGTAGCTGATACTACAGGCGCATGCTACCACTCCCAGCTAATTTTTTTTATTTATTGTAGAGACAAGGTCTCGCCAATTGCCCAGGCTGGTCTTGAACCCACGGGCTCAGGCAATCCACTCACCTCAGCCTTCCAAATTGCTGGGATTACAGACTGAGCCACCAAGCCCAGCCTAGCTAGGACTTTCAACACAATTTTGAACAAGAAGGGTGAGAGTGGGCAGCCTTGTCTTCTTCCAGTGTTCAGGGGAAATGTTTCCAGTCTGTCCATTTAGCAGTATGCTAGCTGTGAGTTTACTGTAGATGGTGTTTACTGTTTTTAGGTATGTTCCTTCCATACCTAGGTGTTTGAGGGTTTTTATCTTGAAGCGATACTGGATTTTATCAAAAGCTTTTTCTGCATCTAATGATATAATCATGTTTCTTGTTTTTACATCTGTTGATATATTTAATTACACTTATGATCTTGTGGATATTGAACCAGCTCTGCATCCTGGAGATGAAGCCAACTTGACCACTTTTTAGTATTTTTGTACTTCATATTTTTGAGGTGAAAAATGTTCTGGTTTGAACAAATTAATTCCTAAAGCTGTCTTTTGGATAAATGTTAAAGATTATATCTTTATTTTAGTTAAGACCTGAACTTTTTATTTAACAATTGTCAATGTTTTTGTTTTATAGGGCAAAACATCAGAGGCTCTGGCAAAGCTAATCTCACTACAAGCTACAGAAGCAACTGTTGTAACTCTTGACCCTGAAAATATCCTCCTGAGGTATTTATCTTCACTCTTTCACCTTCTGTTTTTTTCAACTTCTTATGAAAAATTTGAAATATACAAAGAAGTAGAGAAAATAATTTCATGAACCCGTATAATCTGTCTCCCAGATTTAACAGTTATCCGCATTTTGTCCCACTTTGTGTATCTATTTTATCTCTCTGTTGTTGTGGTGGCAAATCTCAGTCATGTCATTTTATGAAATATTTCTGTAGTGTTTCTTTAAAAGAGGACGAATTCATATACCACATTGTTATACCATATTGCACCTAACAAAATGAATAATTATTCCTTGATGTTACCTAATACCCTATCCATGTTCACATTTTTCCTATTGCCTCCAAAATGTTTTTAAGTTTCTTTGTTTGAAATAGAATGCAAATGGCCAGGCACAGTGGCTCATGCCTATAATCCCAGCACTTTTGGAGGTTGAAGCAGGAAGATTGCTTGAGTTCAGGAGTTCAAGACCAGCCTAGGCAACATAGCGAGACCCCCATCTCTACAAAAAAATCAAAAAATTAGCTGGACATGGTCTGTGGTCCCAGCGACTGGGAAGGCTGAGGCAGAATGATCGCCTGAGCCCAAAAGTTCGAGGCTGTGGTAAGCCGTTATTTTGCCACTGCATTCCAGCCTGGGTGTCAGAGTAACACCTAACAGAAAAGAAGAGAAGAGAACAGAAGAGAAAAGAAATAGAATGCAAACAAGATCTGTGTATCACTGCATTTGACTATCATTTGTCTTACATTTCTTTTCATCTAAAACAGCTCCTGCCTTCCTCCCTTCTTTCCTTCTTTCCTCCTCCCCTCCAATACAATTGACTTGTTGAAGAAACATCCATCAGTTGTTCTGTAGAATATCCCACTATCTGAATTTGTCTCTTTGCTTCCTTGTGGTGTCATTTAACTTGTTCTATAACTCCTGTTTTCCTTTTAATTGGAAGATAAAACTAAAGATTTGATTAGATTTCATTTTTTGTATTTCTAGTTTTTATACTCTTAAAATTGTTTAGGCAAATTTACACAATAAATTTTTAATTAAATGGAACAATTACATTGTTTTTTAAAACTTTCACATTTCCATTCAGTGATTATTCAACAAATATTTAGAGTACCTGCTTTGTGCCAGGTACTGTGCTGTTCACCAACAGTGAGCAAGACTGGCATAGTAGTCCCTAGCTTAAATGTTGGTTCTAGCTTCCATTGCTAGTAACTATGGAACCACAAGCCTGACATGAACTAAAAAGCTTGCATGGAGAAGTATATTGTCATGATGTCTTTATGTTAACTTATATACAGTGAAGAACAAGTGGATGTGGAACTTGTACAACGTGGGGACATTATTAAAGTGGTTCCAGGAGGCAAATTTCCAGTGGATGGCCGTGTTATTGAAGGACATTCTATGGTAGATGAGTCCCTCATCACAGGTATGATTTTCTCAGAGTATCGTGACATGAAAGTGAAGTGAATCTAAAGTGTTAATGAAAAATAGGCACAAAAGGTGAAGATCTTTTGTAGCAAGTATGAGTGAGTAAATCATAAACAAAGAGAAAATGACTTTTTTTTTTTTTTTTTGAGTTGGAGTCTCACTCTGTCGCCCAGACTGGAGTGCAGTAACCGCTCCCGGGCATCACAGCCTCGACCCGCTGGGCTCCAGCGATCCTTCCGCTTCAGCCTTCTAAGTAGCTGGAATTACAGGCATGCGCTACCACGCCCGGCTGATTTTTTTGATTTATTGTAGAGATGAGGTCTTGCTGCCCAGGCGGGTCTCGAACCCGCGGGCTCAGGCAATCCACTCACCTCAGCCTCCCAAAGGCGCGGGATTACAGGCTGAGCCACCGAGCCCGGCGAATATCAATTTTTTTAAAGTATGTATTAAATCAATTTCCTCAGATTTACTTTGTTGTTTTAGTTATGTTATTAAAGGCTCTTTTCATTGAAGATTGTTAATTACTAGGCTGCATAACTAGAAGAAGTTGTTTCAGTTTCCTGGAGATCCTGCTGGGCAAATACCTATTCTGTCTTCCTGTCCTAAAGACCAGTATAGTCTGAGCTAGGATAGGGCTACAGGTTTTCCATGTCAGGGTCTGCTTTAAGAGAATAGGCCTGCAGTAGTTTTAGAGATCTTAGGTAGCTAAGGCTAATCTGGAGAAATAATACCTTTCCTGCTTTAACTCTCCAAATAGTTTCAAGAGAAGCTCAGCTTATGAACCATGTGGAAATAATTTAGGACTCTGTTTCTCAACAGGGGTGCTATTGCCAGTTTTGTAATTGGGTAAGTCTTGGCTCTGAGTAACTATCTTACACACTGTTGTACAATTCAGTATCCTTGACCCTGGCCTGCTCCCCCATGCTCCCCCAACTCCTAGTTATTATTATAAACAAAAACTCCCTTCCATATTTCTAAATGTTCCTTGAGAGCAGGTTGAGAACCAATAATCTAGGATTATGGTAAAGTTTCAAAAGTATCTGCCAGCAAGAACTAACATTAGGTTTTTCCAGTTTAAAGTATATACCCCTGGGCTTGGCCTAAAACTGGCATGAGGAAAAAGGGAGGGCCACTTTTACCTAGGCATAGGTCCAGATTCTAGTTTATGAAGTAAGAATCTCCTTTCTAGATATTTTTGACAATTAGCAAATAATGATATATTTCAAGATAGTGATCATTTATGCTTCCTAAATATATCTTTACTCTTTATACAGGAGAGGCAATGCCTGTGGCTAAGAAACCTGGCAGCACAGTGATTGCTGGTTCCATTAACCAAAATGGGTCACTACTTATCTGTGCAACCCATGTTGGAGCAGACACAACCCTTTCTCAAATTGTCAAACTTGTGGAAGAGGCACAAACTTCAAAGGTAATTTATCTCCCTAGGAGAACCAGAAAGTGTTTTCTTTAAAGCTTTCTCAGTATAAATCTTGATCTAGTTTTTTATTTTCCACCAATACATTTTAGTTGCATTAATATGGAGTTTATTAAAATATTCCAGTTTGTGTTAACTACACTCTATACTCAATGTCAGGAGACTTTGATATGCTTAGTGTTATTTTTTAAATTCTAGGCCCCTATCCAGCAGTTTGCAGACAAACTCAGTGGCTACTTTGTTCCTTTCATCGTCTTTGTTTCCATTGCTACACTCTTGGTATGGATTATAATTGGATTTCTGAATTTTGAAATTGTGGAAACCTACTTTCCTGTAAGTAACTTGTAATAACTCTTTACTACATGCAAAACAGTTTGTGAATCTTTTGCATAGGTAATTAAGTAGAAATAACTTTAATAGTTACCAGTATCTTTAAGGGGCTGGAATAGGAGGATGGTAAGAATAGCATTTGCATTTCTATAGATATAAAAAATTTCCTTTTGGAAAAAATTTTTTATTATGACTTGTGAAATCAAGTATTAAACTTTTACATGTTAGGCTTAGTCTCATTTCCAGTGTGATTTTGTTTTCTTTAGTTTGTGATTCTTTATTTTTAAAAAATGCCATGCTGTACACCCTTTCATGCTGTTTGTTTTTTCAGTTAAAGAATCATAATAACTCTGTATCTATTTCATGTTATGGTCATTAGTGTGATATAAAAGTTTCTTTCAACAATTTATGTCTTTTAAATACACATTGAACAAGAGGATTTGGGATAAGTATTTTGGAATGTTATTCATGAATTTTTCTCATGAGTTCAAGGAGTCTTAGGAGATTTTCCCTTAAAACCATCAATTATATTTCTCACATGAGCAAACACTCAACGTCCCTAAAAGCTTAACTAGCAGATATACTTGGTTCACATTATGTCTGAAAGGATTTTGTTGAAATATGACTAAGCTCTATTTGCATGCAGGTGATTTTTTTCCCCCAGTCTTTAAACTAATATGAAAGGCAGATTTTGGTATACAGAGATTTAGAATTCTATTTGTTCAGGATCAAGTTTGTTGAAAATTATATCCTACTTTTGCAGCTATTTCTGAAGGCCCCTAATAAAAACATTCTCAATATAGGGAAAAAAAGAAAAAGTGAAATTTTATGTTCCTTATATTCACTCCATAATTTGTAACTCTGGAATCATCAGAAATGAAATCTTGATTTTAGGACTATCGTTGGTTTACCAGTTATGTTACGATTTTTTGTATTCCTAAAAGAAAAAAAGTATTTTCTTACTTGTAACTAAAAAATGACGTTGGCAGAAGATAAGATACCTGACTTTAAAATTGTGGTTTTATTTAAATAGTGTTAAGCTTTGTTTCTTTTGTTTTGTTCTGCTCTAAGTCAATAACCAAAATGTATGCCTTTTTTCTAAAGGGCTACAATAGAAGTATCTCTCGAACAGAAATGATAATACGCTTTGCTTTCCAAGCCTCTATCACAGTTCTTTGTATTGCATGTCCCTGTTCACTGGGACTGGCCACTCCAACTGCTGTGATGGTGGGTACAGGAGTAGGCGCCCAAAATGGCATACTAATCAAAGGTGGAGAGCCTTTGGAGATGGCTCATAAGGTAAGACAGTCCCCAGAACTATTAATTGATACATCCAAGCTGGTAATAGCAGCTATTGAGAAACACAAAGTCCTACATTATTTCCCTATTGAGAAACACAGAGTCCTAAATTATTTCCACATGGTCTATATGTTGAGCTTCTTCTGGGAATATCTGGAGAGTTGACATAAGAAAGATATTTTGGTTCTGCTCAAGGTCGGCCTTAGTTAACCTAAGATCTCTGAAACTACTCCAGGCCTATTCTCTTAGAGCAGACTCTGAGGTGGAAAACCTGGAGTCCTATCCTAGCTCAGACTATACCAATCTTTAGGACAGGAAGACAGAGTAGGTATTTGCTCAGGAAAATGTGCCAAAGTCTAGCAGGCTTTTAATTTGTTTGTGTGTGATTGCATGCTTATGTTCTTCAATGGAAGCGAATTTCTGCAATTACAATAGTATCTTTGCCTTTACAACACCCAGCTGTCAGATTACAGTTATGTCTGTAGGAATATAATCCTTTCTCGGATCTCTCTTGTATTAGAGTTTCCTTAACAGTTTCAGTTAAGTCTACCTGATTCAATTAAGGCAACTTCAACTAAAACCATGGTTCTACTAATCTACTCTTATTATGAAGATATAAACTATATATAGATGCATATATTAAACATAGAACATAGCTTAGAACAAATCTGGAACCTCATCTAGCCAGTGAATACAGGCTAATAATTTTTATAGACATTTTAAATTTTGATGTAACTTCAAACTTAAAAGTTGCAAGTGTAGTACAAAGAACTCCTATATACCCTTTACTGTAGCTATCGGGCTCCTTTTTAAAGAATAAGGACATTCTAGTACAATTATCAAAACCAAGAAATTAATATTGATGTAATACTATTATCTAATCTATACTCTATGTTTTAGTTTTCTCAGTTGTCTCAATGTCCTTTATTTTTCTCGTGTCCAGAATCATTCTTTGTATTTAGTTGTCATTTCTCTTTTATCTTGGCTCCTTGGGCTATTAATTTTCAAGGTTCCTATTTCAAGTTTACTGTGAGGTGATTGTGTTCTTTGATACCAGCCTCTACTTTTTTCTGTCTGGGGCAAATTTCTCACATTGGTTTCCTGAACTATCTCTTCTCAGCCCAAGCTTCTAATCTAGATCCAACCAATAAAGCAAAAGCAACCCAGCAGGTCTTATCTGGTGCTTATTTCAACTTAATTACCTACCTTTTTTCTTATAATCATCTACCTACTGCCTAAATTTCCCCGGTGGATCTAACATTTATTAGGATTGAAAGGCTCTCTGTTTTCCCTGGAGGTACTAGAAGCATGACTTAATTACCTACTGATAGTCAACCCTTAACAATTAGCTATAGTTTTCTAATATATAGTCACAATCATATAGCACGATTAAACAGTTTAATGTTTGCAGGAGAGGGCTATTAGGTATAACTAAGATTATTTCTTCTTTTGTTCTCCCAAAGACCGTCAGGTTATTAAGTCAAATTAAGTCAAAGATCAATTTAAAAGAAACAAAATAATAATCTGTTCATCAAAGTAAACCCTTTTCTTATTTCTGTAAAGATAATGTTAAGGATTATCAAGCCACTGTATTTTAATTTCCTTACAGGTAAAGGTAGTGGTATTTGATAAGACTGGAACTATTACTCATGGAACCCCAGTAGTAAATCAAGTAAAGGTTCTAGTGGAAAGTAACAGAATATCACGCAATAAGATCCTGGCCATTGTGGGAACTGCTGAAAGTAACAGTGAACACCCTCTAGGAGCGGCAGTAACTAAATACTGCAAACAGGTATAATTCCCCCCCCTTGTTTAATAATGTAGTCATATTCTATAGGAATTCCCCAGATCAAATCTAGACTGGTATTTGCCTATAATTTATGCATATAGTTGGTATGGTGCTAAAGAGATTTGTATTTTCTAATTTCATTTTATATGCCTTAGTTTCTTCATACAGACAAGTATAAAGATGAAAACAGCAATGAACTATAATGCAATTACACAGATAACTCCCGCTGACATAAAAAATTAAAATAGAAGTAATACATATTTGTAGTAGGAAATTTCAGAGAATTACATAGTGAAAATTGAAAACCTCATTCCCTACCCTCTTCTATAATTCCTCTCTTCAAAGTTTAACAACTGTTAACCCACTAACAGTCTTGAAAAATAACAGCTTTTATATAGACCAATGGAACAGGATAGAGATTCTGGAAGCAAAGCCTCAATTTCTTAACTAACTCATCTTTGACAAAGCCTCCAACAACAACCACTGGGGAGAGGAGAACCTATTCAGTAAATGGTGCTGGGAAAACTGGCTGATCACATGCAGAAGACTGAAACAGGACCCCTACCTATCACCATACACAAAAATTAACTCTAAATGGATCAAAGACCTAAACGTAAAACCTCAAACTATAAGAATCTTAGACAATGCAGGAGGCACCCTTATGGAAATTGGAACTGGCAACCAATTCCTGAACAAAACCCCAAGTGCCCATACCATAAGAGATAAGATAGATAAGTGGGACCTCATCAAACTGACGAGCTTCTGCAAAGCAAAAGAAACCATCAAGACAGCGGGGAAACAGCTCACAGAATGGGAAAAATTATTTGCCAACTGTATCTCTGACAAAAGCCTAACATTTAGGTTCTACAAGGAACTCAAATGTGCCAAAAAGAAAAAAAAAGCCCCATTTAAAAATGGGCAAAAGGCATGAGTAGACACTTCTCAAAAGAAGATATACAGGCAGCCAACAGACACATGAAAAAGTGCTCAGCCTCACTCATCATCAGAGTAATGCAAATCAAAACCACATTGAGATACCACCTAACCCCAGTAAGAATGGCCATCATTACTAAAACAACAGATGCTGGTGAGGATGCGGGAAAAAACGAATGCTTTTGCACTGCTGGTGGGAATGCAAACTAGTGCAACCTTTTTGAAAGACAGTGTGGTGATTTCTGAAAGAACTAGAAACTGACCTTCCATATGACCCAGCAATTCCCCTATTTGGAATATACCCGGAGGAACTCAAGTTATTCTACCAAAAAGATACTTGCACATGCATGTTTGTTGCAGCTCTATTCACAATAGCAAAAACATGGAACCAACCATACTGCCCATCAAAGCTAGACTGGATAAAAAAAAATGTGGTACATAAACACAATGGAATATTATACGGCCATAAAAAAAACCAAACATATGGACTTTGCAGCAACTTGGATGGGTTTAGAGTCTATCATACTCAGTGATCTATTATAGAAACAAAGAACAGATATGTTCTCACTCATAAGCAGACCTTGAACAATTATCATAATACTATAAGAAAGGGATTGGCAGTAGTGGAAACTGCCAGTAGAGGTGTGGTGGGATTGATAGCTGAGTGAAACTGCCAGGGGAGGGAGGGGCACACCTCATCAACAAGGTTACCTGCATAATGAACATTTGCATACCTAACCCTGAATTGTACCCCACATCTTTAAAATAACAAAAAAAACCAACTTTATTGAGATATAATTCATATACTATAAACTTCACTCTTTAAAAGTGTGCAATGTAATAATCTTAGTATATTCACAAAAGCATACATCTGTTAACTGTTTTTAATGCACACACCAACATATATGTATTTATTATTTTGGAACTATATACAGAAAGGTTATACAGTGATCAATTTTTGTTACCTTATTTTTTTATTAAATGCATTTTTCATATCAGTAAATACAGGTCTGCCTCATTGTTTTTTATGACTATATTGTATTCGGTAGTGTGATTGGTTTTTTGGCTCTTACAGTGTACAGTGGACATCTTTGTCAGCTTTTGCAAATCTGTTTCTACATTAAATACCTATCAAAACAATTGCTGTCAAAGGGTTCATGCAAGTAAAATTTTGGTTAATATTACCAATGTCCACATGATGAGTATTACCAGCACCCGTACAAGAGGTTGTACCAATTTATACCTGCACCAAAAGTTACAAGTGCTCATTTCCCCATATTTTTACTAACACTTTATTTTTCTAGTGTAATAAGTGCAAATATTTACATATTGATGTTTTGCTTTGCATTTCCTTAATTATGAATAAAGTTGAGCATCTTTTTTTTTTTGAGTTGGAGTCTCACTCTGTTGCCCAGGCTGGAGTGCAGTGGCACGCTCACAGCCACCCCAGCATCGACCTGCTGGGCTCCGGCAATCCTTCCACCTCAGGCTTCCAAGTAGCCAGAATTACAGGTGTGTACTACCACACCTGGCTAATTTTTTTATTTATTGTAGCGACAAGGTCTCGCCAAGTTGTCCAGGGTGGTCTGGAACCCGCAGGCTCAGGCAGTCCACTCACCTCAGCCTCCCTGGGATTACAGGCTGAGCCACCGAGGCCGACGAGCATCTTTTAATATATTTATTGGTCATCTGAATTTCTTTTTTCTTTAACCTATTAATAACCATTACCTGTTTTTCCATAGGGTTGTTTGTCTTTTTCTCATTGATTTGTGTAAGTTCTTTATGAATTATCTTACATTAATTTTTACACTTAAAAGGTAGCAGTTTCTACCATTGGTGTTGCCATTTTTTAATTTGTTATTTTGTTTTTGCCTCTTAACTATTACTGACCTGGCTTCTTTACACCGAAATCAAACAAGAGACAGGATAATGCTATAAAGAGTCAAAAACAATGATGGCCCCCAAAATTATTTGGCTTACTGAGGACACAGAACCAGAGAGCAGTCTGGTAACTAAAGGCTCTATTGTGTTACCCTTTGCCCTATACTGAGTAGAAAACTTACTTGACTATAGAATCAAAATTTTAATTTGTAATTCTGTACTAGAAAGGACAGAGAATATTAATAAGTCCTCCATATTTTCTGTAGATTTTAGAAAGTGCGATTAAGACATAGGATTCTGAGACTTTCCTGTAGCTTTGAATGTTACGCTCAATGCTCTGTTCCTTCATCCTTATAAAACTGTGCTGTTAAGTAGGCAATGATAAGTAACAGCTTTATACTAAACATTTAGAACTAAGATTAATCTTTGATTTTGCTAATGGATGACCTTGGATTATTGGAACAGCAGAGGAAATACTTTTGTTTCTATTTGTTAGGAGCTGAACGCTGAAACCTTGGGTACCTGCATAGATTTCCAGGTTGTGACAGGCTGTGGTATTAGCTGTAAAGTCACCAATGTTGAAGGCTTGCTACATAAGAATGACTGGAAGATAAAGGAAAATAATATTAAAAATACATCCCTGGTTCAAATTGATGCAAGTAATGAACAGTCATCAACTTCATCTTCCATGGTTATTGATGCCCAGCTCTCAAGTAAGCTAATTTTCTTTGTAGTTCCAATTGTGGGGCAGTTATAAACAGATGGCTAACCTATAACCTTGAACTGTTATATAAGAAAGAAAAATTGGTATCACGATTTCATTCTCTCAAATCAGTTTTACCCTCTGCCTTCTGATCACTTCACTCGAGTTCCTCAAAAACATTTCCAAGCTGTGCTCTTTGATACCACCATAGGGTGATGAGGTCTAGCCTTAACTGATCATTCATGATCTGTCTTTTATTTCTCACTACAACTACTTCAAACCTTTTATATCTTTCACAAGATCTTGTGATCCTCCCCTTGCTCCCCTCTGCAAATCATCTTGCTTCTTTATAATATAGAAAATTAAGGTTCTTGGGAACGTGTTCTTTCAATTTTTTTTCCCCTGGGGAAGAGGTATCCCTCATCTTGCCTAAGAAATCCCTTCATCTTTGTTTTAGATCCCATCCTCTCTTGATTCAAGGATGTTCCTCTCTCTATTATATCCGCTTCTTATTTTCCATCTCTGGAGTATCTTATTCTCCTAAACATATAAACATTTATTCCATCAAAATGACTGTATTCTTTTTTTCATTGAAATTTCTTTAAAAAATTTTTTTAAATTTTAAAGATGTGGGGTACAACTCAGGGTTAGGTATACAAATGTTCATTATGCAGGTACCCTTGTTGATGAGGTGTGCCCCCCCTCCATTGGCAGATTCCCATTACTGCCAACCCTTTTCTTATAATATTATGATAATTGATCAAGGCCCGCTTATGAGTAAGAACATGTGATTTTCAGTTCTTTGTTTCTGTGATAGACTAAGTTCATCCAAGTTGCTGTGAAGTTCATAATTTTGTCCTTTATGGCTGCTTAATATTCCATCGTGCATATGCACCATGTCTTTTTTATCCAGTCCTTTTTCAATGGGCGGCATGGTTGGTTCCATGTTTTTGCTATTGTGAACAATGCTCAATAAACATATGTGTGCAGGCATCTTTTTCATAGAGTGATTTGAGTTCCTCCGGATATATTTCCAGTAGGGAGATTGCGTGGTTGTATGGAAATCTAGATTTTGTCCTTTCCCATCTATATTCGCGGCTAGATTCTTTTCCTTTATATCCAGGCTTCTAGAAAGGACAGCCTAGGCTTGCTGAACTCACTTAGTTACTACATAGCCATGCCTCAGTTAATTGCAGTCTGGCTTCCGCCCCATCCATACTATTCTTTCTAAGTCCACTGATGACCATGGACCTCAGTGCCTTCTCTAGTGGTCACTTTCAGTCTTTGTCCTGCATGACCTCACTAAGGCATTTGACAATGTTGACCATTTCTTTCTTCCCTAAGAATCTTTCCTTTCTTGAGTCCATGACCCTGCTTTCTCTAGATTCTCTTCTCACATCCTGCCTGGTCCTTCTAATTCTCCTTTGATTTTTTTCTTTTCTCCAGCTCTCAAATGTTGAATGTTCTCAGGGTTTTGTTCTTTGTCATTTTGCCATTTTAGATATTCTCTCTGTATAATCCCATTCATTCCCATAATTTATTCTACCACCTTTAGGCTTATATTACCCCCTCAAAATCTATATCTCTAGGCAAGTTCTGTTTCCTGGGCTTCATGCTGATCTATCTGTCTGCCCTCAAAATATGATCTACCTTCCTAAGTGTTCTAGGACCTCCCTTCCGATCTGTGCCCAGGTGATTTTGCCAACCTGCAAATCTGGTCATATCACTTTCTGACCAATACCTTTTATTACAGTGATTTATATCCTATCATTTTATTTTATTTTATTTTGTTTTTATTTTTATTTATTTTTTCTTTATGTTTTTCAATAGCTTTAGTGGGTGAAAATAGTTTTTGGTTACATGGTTGCATTGTATAGTGGCAAAGAACTCTGGGCTTTAAGTGTACCCACCACTCCCACCTGTACATATTGTACCCAACAGGTGATTTTTCATTCCTCCACCCCTTTCTCACTCCTCCTTCTGAGTCTCCATTGTCTGTTATATCATTCTCTATATGTTAACAGATCCTTAGTTTAGCTTCCACTTATAAGTGAGAACATGTGGTATTTGGTTTTCTGATCCTATGTTAGTTCACTAAGGATGATGTTCTCCAGTTGCATCCAAGTAGCTGCAAAAGATATTATTTCATTCTTTGTTATTGCTGAATAATATTTCATGGGAGATATATATATATAACATTTTCATTATCCACTGATCAGTTGATGGGCATTTAGGTTGATTCTACACCTTTGCAATTGTGAATTGTCCTGTGATGAACATGCAGGTGCATGTATCTTTTTTTAATATAATGACCTCTGTTTCTTTGGGTACATACCTAGTAGTGGAATTCCTGGATTGAATAGTAGATCTACTTTTAGTTCTTTTTTTTTTTTGAGTTGGAGTCTCACTCTGTCGCCCAGACTGGAGTGCAGTGACCTCTCCTGGCCACCTCAGCCTCAACCTGCTGGGCTCCGGTGATACTTCCGCCTCAGCCTTCCAAGTAGCTGGAACTACAGGTGCGCGCTACCACGCCCGGCTAATTTTTTATTTATTGTAGAGATGAGGTCTCACCAAGTTGCCCAAGTGGGTCTCAAATCCACGGGTTCAGGCAATTCACTCACCTTGGCCTCCCAAAGCGCGGGATTATAGGCTGAGCCATCGAGCCCGGCTATTTTTAGTTCTTTGAAAAATCTTCAGACCAGTTTCCATAGAGGTTGTACTAATTTACACACCTACCAGCAGTGTATAAACATTCCATTTTCACTGCATTTGTGCCAGCATCTTTTGGTTTTCGATTTTTTTCAGTAATGGGCCTTCTGGTTGGTGTAAGGTGGTGTCTCACTGTCATTTTAATTTGCATTTCCATGACAATTAGTGATGCTGAGCATTTTTTCATATTTTTTTGCCATTTGTGTGTCTTTTTTTGAGAGCTGTCCATTTATGTCCTTAAATAGGAGCAGGATCAATGTAAAAGAACAGAAGGGAAGACAATTATATAGACATATGAGGCACAGGTAGCTGAGAAGATGTGACAATGCAAGCTTGTGGAGGTTCTCCTCTGATTACTTCTATTTTGTTTCTGTAGTAGGAAGTAGAGTCATCATCTGGAGTGAGAATAGGGGAAGAGAAGGTAAAAAATAGCCATCTATTTGGAGAATATTTGAAGAAATGGAGAATGAATGGACTAAGGAAATATAGTTGAATTGCCAGATAGCCGTAAGGACCCATTTAAAGTTAGTGGTCATATGTTTAGAATGAGACATCAGCATGGTTATACATTCCTATGTATAACCCTACCCATATTCAGCTACAGAAGCACAACAAATATTTTGGATTTAATTGAATTGTTGTGGCTTTCCCTTTGACCTTCCATAGCAATTCACCAAGAAAGGAACATTTAAATCTTTTTTTTTTTTTTTTTTTTT